TCCCAATTGGATTTCCCATTGGGAACCTACTAGGACTAAGTTGCTAACTGGTTAGCAAGATGCTTCAGAGAAACCGGCCACAACCAAACGTGTTTGCGAACCTTCCGCCACAACAATCCCGCCCCCTTTATAAACAACCAATCACATTCACTTTATACACTCGTGTAAAGTTGTGCACCGCTCGGCAGAATTCGGAAATGCAACGGTTGGAACAGCCGCTTCCCTCCGACTTTAAACAAATGCATTTTAATAAATTAGATTCCATTAAAGCGATAAATTAAATTAAGAAATATATATCAACTAGATTCATGACTTATTTTCAAGTGTAGTTTAGATTATTATGGCTCACAGTGTATATAAACATAAAACATCTTTTATAAAAATGTTAATGATTTTCATACATGGTTGAGGGCTGGTAAACAGTATGTTTATCTGTAGTCAGCATATGGTCGACGTTCCTTATGAATGAATTTCTGCATTTTTAAATTACCGCATTAGAGGAGTTTGAAGGAAGCAACAAAATGCGAATACATTTAAAAATATCAGTTTTTATGTTCACTCTAAGTTGAGATTGAAATCCTTTTTTCGGGTAGTTTGTGTTGTAGCAAATATTTAACTCACACCTGTCAGCTGTTTCCAGAAGTAGAATCACATTTCTCTCTCTCTCAGTCTCACTGGATGACATGAACCATCGCTAAAATAAAGTAACTGAAATGCCCGGTTCCATCCCTGTTTACCACAGCCAGCGTAACATCAGCGTATGATGACGTTACGCTTTGCATAGCCTTTTTTAATTTGCTCCAATGTTGGAAGCACATGTATTTCATTTTTGTTTTTGGCTTTTTAAAATTTGCATCAAATTCATAACATCACATCTTTTTACATTTCACTAAACTAAAGCATAGCAATGTTCAAAGCTGGATTTAATAAATCATTAATGCAGCAAGACATAAAGCCATGAGTTTAATAGAATCTGCTTAAGAAGTTTAAAAACTGTTAGGGGAAAGAATAGAGCTTCCAATGTTCTGCCAGCAGGGGGCAGCAAAAGCACTCATTTTGCCAGAGGGGGACGATGAGGTGACAAGGAAGTGATCTGGAGTTAGGTGTGATTTCACTAATTTTTCAGTTTTTAAATGGGTTTATTTTAGTGGTTGACCTTTGCTGTTCATTTATGCTTTCTTAAAATATGGACTTTGTTTTGCAGTTTATATTTGTGTATTTTTCCTTCCCCTAAACACTATTAATATGTTTAAAAAAACATTTTGTTCAGACTAAAACATGATTCATAATATTTTTGTATGAGGGTTTTTTTTATTTCTCTGGTGTTTTTATTTTCATTTTTGTTAACTAAACATGTTTTTGTTATTTTTGTTAAACTATAATATTTAAATTAACAAAAATCAAAGCAGGAAAATACATCACTTTGGATCTTATGAAGTTATTCTGTTTGAATAAGATCCCTTAAATGACTGTTCATTTATTTATTGTTTTTGATTTATTGAATAGGCTTATAAATTCCTGCCAGTGTTCTTTGCTTTTCCACATTTGTGGTAAACCAGAAAGCAGTGATGCTCTTCCTGACCTGAGTTCTTCTTTCCAGGTGGTCTCTTCCAGTCCAGCATCATCAAACAGGGACTCATCACTCGCTTCGTTCCCTTCCTGCCATTGACGCGGACTCACGTGGAGCGCTGCGCTCGCTCGCAGCTGTGTCAGCAGGGCGTCTGTGACCGCAGCGACGTGGTGGAGGCGGTCGGAGGAGACGTGGTCTACTCTCCTGTTGAGGGACAGTACTTCTCCACCACTGGCTGTAAAGCGGTCTCTGCAAAGATCAGCTTCTTTCTGTGAGTCGGAGCAGGACAGTTGCTCAGATTTAACTGGAGGAAAAGCTCCTCTGTTTTTGTTTTGGGAAGAATTGTTCTTTGATTAAGAACAAGGTGAGCGGTGGAACGCAGGAATCGTTCCTAAGCAAAAATTTAAAAGGATGAAGTGAGGAGGGAAAACTCTCTGACCGTGTTCATTAAATACTGGAAGAAGATAAAAAGCAGCATCCCTGGAGGAAGATGGCTGCACCCTGAAGCATTCTGAACCAGGAGCTGTTTCTACCACAGGGGCGTCTTTTAAAGCCTTTTAAATGAAATTCTGCAGCTGCTTCAGGTCACCAGGTTTATATTTTTAAATTTGTTTTATTTATCACATTTTATTTTATTTAACTATCGGAGAACTGTAAGTTTCACTCAGAGATGTTTGGGAATGCACAAGAACAAGAATCTCTCCTTCATATTACAGAAGGTATTTTTATTAAAAGGGCTCAGAGATTTAAATATTCTCCAATTAACCCATTTTTATAAGATGCCTTTTTTAACTTAGAAGAAGTCATCCAGGAAGGAAACAAAGAACTGATTATAATCTTATAAAGAAATGCCAAAGCTGGCTGAGGTGAAGCATGTGGGATCCAATTATTATGGTAGCACATTATAAATTCTGCCAGCAGGGGGCAGCATTGGCTTTTTTTTTTCTTTTTTGGGTTTATTTTCACCACTACCAGATGATGGACTCACCCTGGAGTTTGTTTTATTTTTACTCCTCTTCATGTTTTTTATTAATTTTATTCTGTTTATGTTTGATCCAAACACTCTGGCTGCACTTTATGGACTAAAAAAGGAACTCATTGTCCTAAGAATTCTAATGTATTCTGAGAAACTAAATCATAAACCAATGCCAAATGATTGAATTGTTTACAGCTGAGCAGGGATTGTAAAACACTGATTTCTCAGCGTATTAAATGAATTTCATCAGCTGTGGGACGTTTGCTTGAATAAGTGCAGCACAAAGCTGCTTCATCTGCGTGTCAACAGAAGAACCCAGCCTTATGATAAAGCCTCTAGGTATTAACTGTATCTGCCTGCTTACAGTCAACCGGTGCTCTATGGAGTGCATAGTCGCTGCGAAAGTTTTCTTTGAAGACATTTAGAATATAAATGTTTGAAAAGGGAAATAAATAAATGTAAATATGTATTTACACAGTGTTTATACACAGGTTGAAATGGTGCAGAGTGCTACAAAACTGTAGGTGACCGCAGACAGGAGGCCTCTGATTGGTTAGATCTACATCAGTTCTACACTATGCGTATTTCCTGTTTGGTACCTTACCAGCTTGTTTGTGTGACTGTCATTGCGGAAAACGACTCGTGAAGTTGGACCAGCTAAAAGAGCGAGGTACACAAGAACGCTGGGACCCTTTTTCCACCTGGATCCCAGCTCTTTTTCACCCTCATGTCCCTCAATCGTCGCACAGACTTGCCTTGTGTGTTTCCACTTCCTCACCGCCTCGGCCGTATCTAGACCCCCAGCTAGTTCATGATTGTCCCTCTGGAATTGTGGCGTGGAATAACAGAGCAGACCATGCTTCAATATTGGGCATACATCTAAAATATCTGCGAGCTCACTGCGGCACACTGCTGCGGGAGGAAAACCAGCCCTTAAGGGTGCAGAATGTGTGGGGTCTGCAGATATGTTAGCAGCAATTATCCTGGCCCTAGAATCGTAAACATTCTGGATGGAGGGAAGTTTTTAGATGAGCCTAACCTCCCAGGGATGGGCGGACTGCAGGGTGGAAGTGGAAGATGACCAGCAGATGCTGTACGGTTTCACACAGAAGCACATTACTGACAAAAGTTTTTCTGTCTTTATTTACACGTTCATCAACTTTGATGACTTCCCGTTCTATAGAATCCAGTTTGTTTTTTGTACCCCAGGTTGAAAGAAATATGAAGCTTTCTTTAAGGATCTTCCAGAAGGTTTAGGAGTCTGCTGAGAAAAAAACAGATACGCAGCATTTGCTCTGATTGATCCCAAAGGTTTAATATAAGTATGACATCATAATATTCACTTTCTCCCCACTAACTTTAAAATGCATGCAGTGATATGGACATGATTGGAAAATCCAAAGTCGATGCTTCTGGAAGTAAAGTTTTATAACAGCAAAAAGCTTTTGATTGAATGTTTTTAAACAGCCTCATCAGTGTGAGCTGCTTTTAATAGCTAGTTTGCTGCTGGGGGGGATATACAGGTGTCTGTTGTGACTCAGCAGTTGCTGCCTATCGACCTGGAAGGGTTAAGTGGAGCTCCGAACTATATTTTTAATACAGCTGGCTGTCCTCTTAGGAGTGGACGTCCTGATGAATTTAGCCCAAGGTCAAGAACACGGGATGTCCAGACCGATCAAAAAATACATCTCTTTATAGGTCTCGGTCCGCAGGCTTAAAGCTAAAGCTCATCACCAGATGTGGGTACTAACCACTGATCTCTGTTTATTCACTGGAAAGCTGCCATCTTGGTACTCCCTACTCACACAGAGTTGTGCTATAAAGATGCCGACATGTGTAGCATTTTCCTGCAACAATTGGATTCATTTTGATTAATCATTTATTGAAATAATGGTCAACTAATTTAGGAAACGATTCATCTTTAACTGGAGTTTAGAGACTCTAAAACATGCCTTTAGCTGACAGAGCGACCCACTTAGAGCAGTAATTATTTCAAAATTGTAAAAAAAAAATTGTTTGGCATTTAAGATAAAAAAAAAAAAATAAAATAAAAATTCCCCTGTCAATATGCTTTATCCAGAACTTAACAAGTCAAAAGTTATAGTTTCACCTGGTTTTATTCTGTATTAAATCTTCAATGTTTTGCTATCCAATCATTAATCGAAAAATTAATCGACAGATTAATCAATTAGCAAAATAATCGTCAGTTGCAGCCTTAAAATATATGCATACACAATTTGCATTAACAGACGAACTTGTAATTCAGTCTTGATGTTATATCTTGAAATATATGTGATATGTAATTACCATAACAACATAATCTAAACATGTATGTTCCATGTACATCATCAATTTAGCACTTTAGGCACATCATCAGATAGTGTGTGTGTTTGCACATATGTAATATTCTTAACATCTAAGTACATTGTTAATATGCTCCATTAACGCACTAATTGTGTTTTGATGGATTTGTATAAAATGTTATATTACATTATTTATAGGCTTCATAGACTAAATACTCTGTAAAAAAAAAAAAAGTTAATATGAACTAAGAATGTGTCTCTTTTTTACCATAAATTACAGTAATCTACTGATGCTATGAAAGTGTGTGTCAAAGTGATGAATTTATCTTTATTTTAAAAGTCTTTTGCTCTGAAAATGAGAACATCATCAGTGTTCGATGCTGTTGAGCACGTATTGTTTACATTGTGACCGGTCTAACTAGGGAGTACCAATATGGCAGCCGGTGACTTCACAGCACCGTGTACTACCAACGTCCTATCGGCTATCAGGTGGATAAATGGAGATCAGTGGGACTAACTGCATGTAATCAGTTACTAGTACTTGATTAACTTTTCCACAAAAATCTACTTTTAGAAGTAGTTTTACTGCAGCATAGTTTTTTCTTTCACTTGATTATTATATTAAAATGTCACTGCAATGACTTGAGTAAAATTTTTGGCTACTTCATCCATTGGGAGTAACTTCATTGAAAAACAAATAAACTTGTTTTTTTGTTTGTTTTTTAATTCCTCCACAGATATAGATACATAAATGTTACAAGCGTACTCGAACCCACCATGAGTTATGGAGGTCAAGCTGATATGCCGTAAGATGTACTGTACATAATGTCACTGGTCATAGTCATTCCACAAAAAGAAAATTAAAAACAATCTACTGAACTTTGTTTCCAAGTTTGAAGCTTTCTCACTTAAACAAAAGCAAGGCTACTGTATAAAACTTTTAACTCAGCGCTATTTCTGACATTTTGAATAGATAAAGCTTCCTGGGTGGGAAGCGAAACGTCTTCAAACTTGGAAACAAAGTCCAGTAAATTGTTTTTAATTTTATTTTTGGAATGTCACTGGAGGTGCTGGTTTTATAAGTTTTATGTTGAAAAGAAAATTGGTTTGGAAAAGTCTGGAGTTATGTTTTAATTAAATTTTTTGTCTTTATTATTGTTATCTTTAAAAGACTGCCTTTAATTTTAAATATCAGATGTTGCGAACAGTTAAATAGTGCTTGAGTACCAGATTTATCAAATACTTTTTCACTCAAGTAATTTCCTAGAAGGTTACTTTTTACTCTTAAGTAAAAATGTGATAGAGTAGTGATACTCTTACCTGAGTACAATTGGTCAGTACTCTACCCACCTCTGTTCATGACTGAACAATTAGAAAAAGTATGACTACTTTGAAAGTTTTGGGCGGGAAAACCTCTTTTACCAAGAAAAAAAAAAGCCAGAATTAGGCTTCCGAAGCTCCTTCTGAATGTACCTCAACACTGCCAATAAACATAGGCTGCACAACATTTTAAATCATACTCCTTAACGTTTAATTGGATGTGTTGGGTGGTCGACTGTTTAATTTAAGGTTCTTTCCCACATTTTATCTTTATGTTAGTGAGTGAGACATAAAGCTAACAGAGTTTGGGAAATGTTTCTTGATCACAACATTTTGCTTATTTATAGATTCAACAATAACATCACAGTTTCACGTTAAGCTGATGATCTTTGACTATAATTTGCAGCATTACTCTTAGGCGAATATGGGACACACCATCTTAAAAGAAACACCACCTGTCCGACACGGTGGTGGAAGAGTGATTGTATGGGCTTGCTGTAAAAGCAGCTTTAAGGAAATTAAAAAAAGTCAGAGCCCCCAAACTGATTGAGAAAGGTCAGAGTTAAACTGTGTTTAGTTACTATTGTCCAGCCTTTTGTCTTCTCAGCATCTTTGTTTCTTTTTCTGCTATTTTGTGGCCGGTTGAAAGCATCAGACTCACCGGCAAACAGTTCCCATGCTCAGTTTCCAGCCCAGTGGACATTTTGGAGTCATCCTCCTGTCTAGAATAAAAAGGAAAGTAACAGTCACAGCCTCATATATATGCCACAACTTCCCACGATCCTCCTGTGATGACTTCATCAGCACGTAGCCTCCGCCCACCACCACACCCACCGTCACCCAGGGCGCAATGAGGAAGAGGAGGGGTTCAAAGGTCAGCTCAGAGGTCTCCTCACCCCAGCTGCTGTTGCTATGTGTCGCCATCTCAGTCCACAACAATAAGACACACACAGAGCGACACTGATGCCATGCTGACCACTCCTCTCACATCTCTGTGACCTCTGAGCTGATTTTCACACGCTCTCAGCAGAAGAGTCAACCTGCTGCCTGTCTCTGGTGTTTTTTAATAAAATATCAGGAGGAAATGGCCGTTCATTGCTTTTACTTTCCTTGTTTACATCATGTCGGCCTTCATTCCTCCTCCTCAGCCTCTACTTGTCCAGTTGAAAAACAAAACTCCTCAACTTCTTGTTTAGTCTTATCTCTTTGATTCTTCCCCTCTTCCTGTCCTTCATCAGAGGTGCTGGGGGGTTTCACTGTTCCTTCCTCCCCCTTCAACACCCACCTTCACATCTGTGAGTACCCCTCTGTCTCTTCATTCTTCTCCCTAACCGCTCCATTATTGGGGCTCTTTCACTTGTAAATGTGGCCAGCGATACTTCTGATGGGTCTTTTGTGCACGTGGCCCGGGTCAGGAGAAAGGTAGGGGCTAGAGGGAAGGTGAAGGGGGGGTGTTTGGGCTGTGAGGGAGTGGGTCATGGTTGAGGGTGGCATAGGGAAGGGGGAGCTGTTTCAGGGGTCTTGTGCTGTTTTTTCTAGCAGGACAATTGGGACAAAGAGTTAAATCCTTTTTTTGTGCGTGCAGTCATTTGGGATGGGCCTAGCTCTTACTTCAAATTCCAGCAGCCAGTCGGCTGCCCCCAGTCCCCCTCCCAACCCCCCACCCACCCAGCAGTAAAGTGCAGACGAACAGGACTCAAGTCGGAACCTCAGAATGTGCCCCCAAAGGAAAAGCACCTGTATTTGTTCATGTGTGCATATCTCTATGCATGCAGCAACGCAACTCTGAATGCGAGAAATCTAACACCGGACAAATTTGAAGTTGTCCTTCTCTTTTAATATAGTGAAATGTTTGCTTTGTCAGATGTATCTTTGGATCTAAGTCTTCTACGTGCAGACCACTGTTCGGGACCTAAATGATTAATGCCACCTGCTTTCTGTTCTAGACATAACATCTTCTAAACAATCAGGTAATTTCTACATGTCAAGAAAATCATGCCTAAATCAAATCTTTCATTCATTCTTTGGAGGTCATTCCTTGAAATGCCAAACCCCCTTTATTGTGACTCAGCAGATCTTGAAGATGCGAGTGGAGCAAGTGTTTCCATAATGTCACCAAACTGGACACAGACATATTGGCAATGCTGAGGTCTGTCATCAAAA